ATCTCCCTTGTTTCAGTGTACGAAATCGCTCAGCGTTTTCAAACTGTCTTTGTTTGAAAATGTATCCTCTTCTATCTCCGCCCTGTGACACATAATTTCAGTCGCTTTCTTACTGATTGATATCCCAATCTTCTTGTTGTTGAATTTCATTCATCTGACATTTTCAGGATTACTTGAATTATCGAAGTTCAACATAATATTCCTCTAGGATGCAACCACAGACCTACTCAATTGTACCAGTGGCATCTTGATCTGAGCTTCAAAATCATGAAGGATCAGTAAAAAGCAAAAAAAAAAAACTAACTCGCTGGTGCTCGGCTGCTCATTCTGGCTTTCTTCGATGCTTTCCATAACCACATTATCACTTTCGGAGATATCCTTGCGCTTCACCTCTCTCAGCTTCGGATTGAACGACATCCTGTTGAACATCATCTCACCACCCAAAACCGTTGCCTTATCTTTCACACGTCGTGGCATCGGTGAAGTAATTTGCTGCTGCTCTTCTTCGAACTGCAAAAAGAAGCTGCTGTTATCAAGTAGCACTTAGAAGCGAGTCAAACCACAACATAAAAATGCTAATTTTTGCTTTTTATGGGGGAGGGGGGATGAAACACAGGTTGCATTCAAACGTGTCTTCTTGCACATGACACTTAATCCAATCCCACATCTATTATTCTCCTATTTGATAATTTTGTAGTGATGGATGTTGAAGATGCCCATGAAATTTACTAACTCGCTCAAGCTCAATAAGCACAGAGATAAACAGTTGTCAGTGTTTTAGAGCATAAATGTTAATCGCTAAATATCGCTCTTACTCAGCTTCAGTGCTACATTCTGTCTGCAGTGGCTCGCTGCTTCTGGAGCGCGTATATTAGCTACTGTCTTAAGAGTGATGTCCGTTACATAGAGTGCAGAAAGCGAAGGACCAGAGTGAGGAGACAGATTGGAAGATCAGATAAGCGGTGAAATAAGCAAAGTTTCCAAGCGAATTCGTAAAGAAATCAAAATAAACTAAGATTATCGGGGCGATGTATCTTCTTAAGCCCTAGCACTGGTTGCAAGAATTTGCAACTGCTGCTTAATAGAAGTACCTAAAAATTGCTAGTTATTAGAAGTACCATCAAGGACCATTTTCATTGCTACATAATCTAAAAACTTTTATCTGGAAATTTTTAGCCACAAACCTTGCTGCTTTCTGGATTAAGACTTCGCCCACCATATGTCAAATAATCAGGAATATAATGAATTGGGAGTGTCGGCTGAGCAGAAAAGAACGATGACAGATTT